CCTCAATTTAATGTGCACTATTTCTGGCAGTCTGCTTAGGCCCCTTATCTCCATTCGCATACCCTCCAATTGTCCTGCTCTGGCAGGGACAGTCTGGATTAATCCTCTGTCATCCCATTTTTACAGCTGTTTCTAAAATGTCCCAGTTTCTTTCTCCTCCCACTTTTCCCCCTTTGTCCCCAGCTTATTTCAATTGCTGCAAACTGAGTTCAAAGTGCAAAAGTAGTTTGCACTCAATTAACAAAACAGCAAGAGAGGACAGGAAGGGGCAGAATCTAGCTTTTCCCCATTTGTTGTTAACTCCCCTTGAGCTGACTTCAACTCATGGTGAATAAGATATCTCCAAGACACCCTGCCCTCCACTGCTCTGCTCAGGTCTTGCAACTTCAGGGCTGTGGCCTTCAGTCTATCCACCTGGTATGAGGTCTTCCTCTCTTTCTGCTACCCTTCACCTTTGCTAGCATTATTGTCTTTTCAAGTGAACCCTGCCTTGTCTTGATGTGGCCAAAATATGATAGTCTCAATTTGGTCATCTTCTAGGAAGAGCTCAGGCTTGATCTGTTCAAAAACCCATTGTTTTTCAGGCAAAAACACTGCTACAGCTTCTCCTAACTGGTGTCTTCTTCTTCATTCATAACTTTTGCCATCTTGACCATACTTTGTTGTTAATTGGCCGCACATGTCCTGGTTTTCAGCTGTTGGAGGGTATGCCCTTGCCATGCAACACACTAGGTGACCTTGGATCAGTTATTTGCTCCTACCCTGAACTACCTCACCTGGCTGTTGTGAAGATAAAAGTGGAGAGCAGGAGAGCCATATAGATCACTTTGAATTCATTAGAAGAAAGACAAGGTATAAATTTGCAAATAAATAAGTTTTTAAAATGCATTTAAATTTGGAAGATGGTGGCAAAATGCAGGACTTACCATATCAGGGTTTGCCAACATAGTGAAGGAAATTTCTGCCCAATCTGAAAAATAAACATGAAAGTGATTTTAATAAAGGAAGATGTGCAGGCCTTTTTATCTCTTTTATGCCCAGGCACTTGTGTTATCTGGACGTTTTTGCTACTCACTAGTCTCCCGTATGTATGGGGACCTGTGTGGTGTATTGGCTTGAGTGTTTGACGATGACTCTGGATCAGGTCTCTTAGCCTCTGAAGCAGGGGTTGACAACCCCCGGCCCACAGGCTGGGTGCAGCCCGCGGAGGCCTTGGGATCGGTCCTGCTGCTGCCGTGCGCGTGCATCCACTCACCATTTTGACGTCTAAAATGGCGCCCACGCTTGCGCACGCATGCGCACAGCAGCAGGGCCCATTTTGGAAGGCCCAATGGCGCCCCGCGTCGTGCACGCATGCTTTCCCGTTGGGCCTTCCAAAATGGCATCCCCTTGCATGCACACATGCGCACGACAGGGGGCGTTGTGCGCATGCACACACGCGGGGGCAAGCGTGTGCACGCGTGCCTGCCCAGCCCCAGTGCCATCCCCCCCCTTCCCCTGAGGTAAAAAGGTTGCTGACCCCTGAAGGAACTTGCCAAGAAAACCCCATGAATAGGTTTGCCTTGGGGGTCTGCGTGAATTGGCAACAACTTGAAAGCATATAACAATATCAGAGTGAATAGAAAATATCACATGGTGAAAATTTATGAATTTTAAACAGTAGGAATATCTTTGTTTTGAAGATCTTGAACATCAAAAAGCATAATTGCTGCCAAAGAGATTGAGACTAAACTAAAGTTTACTCTCACAATCTCTTTGATGGGAATAAATCTACTATTGATCTCTGTGCTTTGTTGGCAGCCAGGAAGAAGCAAGTACCGGTAACTATCCTAAATTATTTTACATTGGATAAGAAGGGTGCGTGGAAAGGGGAATACCATGTTTGAAAAAGGACATTGTGTTCACACATTATATCTGAATTATTTCTTCCCTTTTCATGTTGGACATTAAATATCTTTTGAATAATAGCTCATAAGATCCCATGGAGTTATGGCCCCAAACAGTAACATTTTGAGGCTCTGATGGTGGGGAAATTGCTTTGGACTACAGGTATTGTAATGTTGCATTAACACAAAATGGCCATTAATCACATGTAAATGCTACAATAAGAAAGCCACATTTGGTGGCAAGCTGGTCTTAATAAGAAAGAAATGTATGACTTTAAATGTTTTCTTTCAGATTAGGTAATCTTGTTAATCTTACATGGCATAACCAAGGATTTGTATTATATATTACTAGAGCATGCGGGGGAAGCTGGTGTAGTTTAGTGGTTTGAATGTTGGACTATGACTCTGGACACCAGGGTTAAATTCCTGGCTCTGCCATGAAACCTACTGGGCGAGTCACACACTCTCAGCCTCAGGGGAAGGCAATGGCAAACCTTCTCTTAATAAATCTTGCCAAGAAAACCCATGATAGGTTCATCTTAGGGTTACCATAGCTTAAAAACGACTTGAAGGACATAACAACAACAACAGAACATGCCAATTGGGCAGTTACAAGGGCATACTAATGTTCCTTTTCCCCAAAAGGTACTGTTCAGTAATGTTGTTATTTTTGCATGTGTGAGTAAAAGCAATGCTAATTTTTAAAACCCCTTTCTTGTCTCCTGCCCCCCCCCCCAAAAAAAATCCTCTGGTGGACCTTTTCCAAATGTTAGGCTATTTCCTTAGCCTTTCTCATAGATTTATATTTTTAAAATTCTTAAAAGAAAGAAACAATGTAATGAACAATTCAGAAAAACTATTTTAAGAACTGGTAACATTAAAGCTAGCAAGTTTAGGTGGTTGTGGATAGCTTTTTAATTATATATACAATCAATGAAAAACAATGTCATAATCTGTGGAGTGTGGACAGTGTCTGCACCTCATTCATTCCTTCCAGCCTGTTCTAGCAGGAGGAAACCTGTATCCCCCTTTCTGCATATGCTGCAAAAAAACACACACACATTAAGTTTTTTTTTGATCCACCCATCCTATCTGGTTTGAGGATTACAAGGGGATGAGAAATGGTATGTTGGACATTTCATCTGGCCTCCTTCAGACATTGACAGATTGGCTGGGATCCAGAGTTAAGGTGTGGATTTTGCAATGGCCTTGCAAATTTGCTTTGGGGAGGAGGTTTGGTTTCCAAAACAGATGCCATTCTTGCTCATGTCCCTATGAAGAATGACCAGCTGACCCAGTGGGGGAAAGGCTGTGTGACTTAGTCCTGCCCTCCAGCTTGCCTATATTAAGGGGACTTTTTCCAAGGGTTCCACGGCTTGCTTGTGCGCCTGTTTCACATTGCTTTCCACCACCAGGACCATGGCAGCTGCATTCTCTAGCCGCAGCCAGTCTTTCTCTGGCAGTGTCCACGGACCCAGAGGAGGGAGCGTGCTTGGCCTAGCCAAGCCTCGGTCAGTCTCAAACATCTATGGTATCATGACTGCCCTTCCACCCTCAGTCAAGGATGCACTGGCTGGGCGTTATGGTGCTGCGGAGACAAATATCCTCGACATCAATCAAAAAGGCACTATGCAAAATTTGAATGATCGCCTGGCTGCATACCTAGAAAGGGTGAGTACCTGAAGAGTGTCTCTGAGCAAATATTTAGCCACATCGTGAGGATATCAAGATACATGAAAGTTCCTAGTGCAAGAGAAGACACCATAATGATATCTAATGATAACTTTCAGGCAGTGCTTTGGGATGCAGCTAAACAAAATGGCACCAGTGCTTGATTTTACGGATGGAATTTTCCTTCCTAGGTTGGAAGCGTTGCCTCCTTTCCTGCTGGAGCAGGGCTGGAAAATGTGTGGCCCTCTATATGTTTTGGGATAGTGGCTCCCATGATCCACACCACCACTAACAGGGCTTAGGGCTAGTGGGAGTTGCAGTCACACAATGTCTGAAGTATCACATGTGTCTCCACCTCTGTAGTAGAAGATACACTAGATGCAGGCAGCCAGGTTACTTGATGGAGAAACTTGGAGCTGGCATCTGTAAGACTGCACATTTATGCATTGCTAAAGTAGCAAGATCTTCTGATCATTGAATGAAGAATGGTGAATGTTTCCACTCTTGGAACACAAATCTTTTAGCTACTGTAAGAGCACCCAGGATTCTACCATGTTGTCTAACAAGTAACTTCCAAGCCACAGGAATAAAATTTAATATATATAATTTGTGGTTATTTCCCATCAATTCAAGTTTAATTTATGGAACTCTGTGAGTAAGAGTCCACCAAGAGTCATCAGTTCAAGTCTTGCAAACTCAGGGCTGTGGTTTCTTGATGGAATCCAGTATCTACATATCTAAATAGCAAAATAATGCAAAATTAATATGGTGAAGCACCTTCTATTGGTGGTAGTACACAATGGTTTGTGGGGGGATAGAGCACACATTGGAGCATATGATCCATTTAGAGACAAAGTTAGAAGAGTTTGTGTATTTATTTATTTATTTATTTATTGCTGTTTTGTTTTGACACTGAGGAGCTTATCGCATCAGCTTTTAACTCGGAAAAAGCCTCCCGGGCTGCAGCCGGGATGTGGGATGGAAGGCGGGGATTATTGCACAGTAAGTTGCCGCTGAATTGCCGGTTGCCATCAGCCCGGGTCCCAGCTGCGTTCAGCTTGCACTTTTTAAAAAACGGAAAGCTTTCCTTTTTTTTTTTTTTAAAAAAATGCTGGTTGAGCATGGCTTGGACCCAGGCTGATAGCAGACAGCGATTTGGTGGCGACTTACTGTGCGATAATCCCTGCCTCCATCCTGTGTCCCAGCTGCAGCCCCCAGGAGGCTTTTTCCGAGTTAAGAGCTCATGCGATAAGCTCCTAACAGTACCTGATGTAGTATGGAAGAACAGTCTGGTTTACACATTTGTTCAAATGAGCCCAAAGGCTAGGATACTATGGAAATTATTGCATGGTTCCCCCCCTCCATCTGGGCATGTATAAACAGATGTTATCACATAGCTCCGTGCCCAGATTGGAGGCATCCCATACCTGATCGGGACTTCTTCTGTATTTAGCAATGAATGGAAAATAACTGGTTGTTTTTTTTTGCTAAGTACAACCATTTTTTGCTCAGTATGTGAGAAGTCCCGATTGGGTACGGGATGCCTCTGATCTGAGCATGGAACTAGATAATAACATCTATTTTTACATGGTCTCAGCTTGTGCCCAGATTGGGAGAAAACACCCGGTGCAATAACCTCCTTAGCTGGCTTCATGATTTTGTTTTAGTGCTTATTATGGTTTGAATAGGTAATTCACAATCTGTGTCTCACATGGTGGTGAATGGCATTGTGGAAATTAATGTCTGATACATGTGAAGGATCTAAGTTCCCATAACTTGGCCTTATAGAAAACATTCAGGGGTAGAGGTTTGTAACATAAAATTAAATAGTTGTGGAGAGATGTGGCCTTTCCAATTTTTTGCTCGATCAGTGAGAATGACATTCTTTAGGAGGAAGCATCCCCCTGAAAAGGCATTTCTTCAAGGAATCTAGAAAATTATCTATTATTAAGTGGCAAAAAACTTTCCATTAGAGACTCCCCACCTTCTTTTCACAAAACTACAGATCCTAGGGTCTTAGAAGAGTTGCTTTTTTGGGCAATAATTCTCAGACTCTCCCAGCCAGCATTATTACTGGGAGTTGCAGTATGCAAAACCAACAAAGAAAACTTTCCCAAGATCTATTTCAGGGGATTACTTTCTTTTGGAGGCCAGGTTCAAAACATGTCAAGTTTCAAATGTGAATGTGTTGTTTTTAAAAGTATAGCATATTTTTTCCTTGAAAGCAGGATATTATTTATGTATGAAAAAGATCTAAATCAAGATTACATTGGTGAAGAGCATTTCTGGTAGCATTTTTTGGGAGTAGGAGGCAGATAGGAAGATGCTCTTGATGTTTTATCATGTACTATGGGCTACAGTTGCCAGTTTTATGCAGCAGCCTCAGGAACTTTATTCCCGATATTCCAGCAATCTGCTATTTGGATGAAGGCTTTGTGAATAGTCTGTAGGGCTTTTGGTTTGTCTCACTGTAATATTATGCAGCGACTGACTGGACAAGGCCAAGAAATTTAAGCAGAACTGGATAGTTACTTTTTGGACTAATGCCCATAATTCTCCAGCTTGCATGGCCAGTGATCTTGTTCACTGGGGGAAAGGTAGAAGCTGTAATCTGAATTGTTCAGGTTTTGTAGTCCAAAAAAGTAACTTTTTTTCCAAACTGTGTTAAAGGCAATCTTTGTTTGATCTGGCTTTCTGAGACATTTGTGGAAATTTCCAAAGAGCCCGGGGCCTGGTATTTATGATGATTGTTGGGAGTTTTGTTGAAAAAACCTTAGGAGGTATGTTGATAAGTGAGTCTTCTATGTGGTTAGGATTTGTTCACAGGGGAAGACTTTGAATAGGAGGAAGGCTTCAGGAAAATCAGGATGGGCAAAGGATGTCTGTTTAATTTGCCCTACAAAGAGATCTGGGCTAGTAGATTTGCATAGCAATGGGAAGAAGAAAAGATACTTTGGATCAACAGCATTTAAACGTACAGTGGGTGAACATGTTATCTCACTGGGTATATTGTTTAACATTTATGGGTGGATGTGCAGAGAAAAAAGGTGTGTGTAGCTGTTTTGTGTTCTTGCTTTCAGGGATTGAAAGAGTTTATGTCTGTAAGTGTAGGTCTCTGCTGACAGCTGAGTTGGTAAGCGGCAAGAGTGTCGATGTTGGTTGAAGATGTGACACCTGAAAAAGTGGTGATTCCTTATTCTTTGTTGAGATTGTTGCATTTTTCACGAGGTACAGCATGTAAGAATGATTTAGATTAAACTATGCAGTGTGTGTAATGTGCAAACATAGGTCTAAAATAATACAGTTTGACACAGCCTTAACTGCCATAGCTCAATGCTATGGAATTCTGGGATTTCTAGTTTTGTGAGTTATTTAGCCTTGTCTGTCAGTGAGCTCTGGTGCCACAACAAACTACAAATCCTAGAATTCAGTAGCATTGAGTCATGGCAGTTAAAGTGGTGTCAAATTGCATTATTTCTGCAGTGCAGATTAGATCACAAATTCTTTTTCTTTTTTTATTCCTAAATGAAATGAATGTCCTCTCCCTGTTTCATTCACGGTAGAAGGGGCTAAAAGAAGAGAAAGCTCAGGGGGACTAGCTGTTCCTCCAGATGTTCTTTAACTGCAACTCCTGTTATATACCACAATGTGCTGTGCTAGCTGGGGCTGATGGGAATTGCAATTCACTAACATCTAGAGGGCCATACACTCTACAGCTATTTAAAATGGGTGCAACATTTTAACTAAAAAGAAAAGTGCTGTCATGG